TGTGTGTGTTTATATACAGAGAGGAGAGAGTTCTTGTGTGTTTGTGAGTGTGTTCGCTCATGTATGAAGCAAAACTGCAATATTTGGCATGATAGCCTAAAAATTGTGTTAACTTTAAATTTTACAGGGTAAGCTAGCAACTGGACAAGAGATAGCAGTCAAGAGGCTTTCAGAGAATTCAAAACAAGGACTCCAAGAATTTAAAAATGAGGTTATATTAATTGCAAAACTACAACATCGAAATCTTGTGAGGCTTTTGGGATGCTGCATTCAAGGAGAAGAGAGAATATTAATATATGAGTATATGCCCAACGGAAGCTTGAACTCCTTTATTTTTGGTTTGGCTCTCAACCTTGCTTAAATTGAATCTTTTTTAGGCATTATTATAAAATTATTTTGACAAATATGAGTATCAAAATAAAGTTGTTTTCTTTGTTACAAACACTTCCCTTCTTATTAATATTATTTGAAGGTGGCCCAAATGGTGCAAGTAAATCTCTTTCATGGAAGAGGCGCTTTAATATTATTGTGGGGATTGCTCGAGGGCTTCTTTATCTTCATCGGGATTCAAGATTGAGGATTATTCACAGGGATCTTAAAGCCAGTAATGTGCTACTAGACAATGATATGAATCCTAAAATCTCAGATTTTGGCATTGCTAGAGCTTTTGCAGGAGACCAATTACTAGACAAAACTAGAAGGGTGGTTGGAACTTAGTAAGTGCCCAAATATTTTTTAAGGTACATGCATATAAGATAACTTTCGTTGATTAATTTCTTTACTTTTCTTACAATGGCACAGTGGTTACATGTCTCCGGAATATGTCATCGATGGCCTCATTTCCATGAAATCAGATGTCTTTAGTTTTGGAGTGCTAGTTTTGGAAATAGTGAGTGGAAAAAGGAACAGACAGTTCCATCATTCAGACCATGACCACAACCTTCTTGGACATGTAAGTTCATTGTTAAAATTGGTTTTCTTCCTCTTTGCAGTTATTCTGTAAGGTTAATTATTTCACGATATATGCTTTGTCAGTCATGGAAATTACTTATTGAAGGGAGGGCCACTGAGCTAATAGATCCACAAATGGAGGATTCATTTCCAATATGTGAAATACTAAGATGCATACAGATCGGCCTCTTGTGTGTGCAGCAACGCCCCGAAGACAGACCAATGATGTCCCTTGTGGTCTCAATGTTTGATAGTGAGGGCACAATGTTGCCCCAGCCTAAGCAACCTGGTTTCTACTCGTATAGAAGCCCTTGTGAGACAGAGTCTCAGGTAAAGGAAAGAACTTGTACGATAAATAAGATGACCATTTCTATAGTAGAGGGTCGGTAGAAGTAACTTATATAACGACCCGTGTGTTTATTAGGAGGCATAAAAAGTGAATACAAATTATTCCTTACACCACTTTTTTTCTAAACGCTTATGTTTGTCTTTAAGTATGATATGGTAGTTAAGTAGGCTCACATATAAATATAATTTAGTGTGATACGATGGTAGGCTCAGTAGGTCAGTAGGTTATTTATTTTTGGAATATTTTTGCAGCCTCTTTCATCCGTGAGCTTCTTATGACACAACAGAGAATTGGAATAAGAAAAGGTTCGAACTTAGTGGTATTCTTTCACCTTCTAAAGTGAAATGTTGACGAGTTCACGGTTCAAATGCCGGAATGTTTGAATGTGGTCATGGCAGAGTCGAGGTCCACCCAAAAGTGTTTAATCATTCCAATCTTTGGCGAGTTGAACAGCCAAGTTATCAGGGGAGTGAGAGTTAGAATGACCTAGAGTGCTAAAGAAGATTGCTATTGGTTCAACATAAATGTGTTTATCCAAATGTAACCTATTTACATACACAATAGTCAATGGATAATCATAAAATCACTGCGACTTCCTACAATTTTGAGTACAACAATTATATAATCAATAAGAAGCATATAATCAATGGATAATCGCATATAATCACTCAAACAAGACACAAAAGGAAAAGGAAAAAAACAGAATCAATCAAAAATATATATGTATTATTTATCGTTCAATTTAGCGCACATACAATTCAATCCAACCATTAATTAAACAAACTAAGACATATTTAAGCAGAAATTCCAAACTTAAGGAAAATTCTGGATACCGACCTAGTAATGAAGAAGACTCAGGTCACTCGATGGAAGTTGGTTGTGCTTGAAATTGCTTCAAAAAAATCCCCAAATTACGAAGTCGAATAGCCACCGTCTAAGAACACGCGTAAGCTGGCGAAGCCGACTTTTAGGGTTAGGGTTTCGCCGGTGACATTACGGAGTGAAAGGTGATTAGTTCTTTGTTAGAGAGAGTGTGTGCTTGTGTGAGAAACACACAGATAACTTCGGGAAACGACGCCGTCTCTTTTTTAGTTAAATAATAAACTTTTTCGTAATTTAATCTAATTAAATCAATTTGTACACGTAGTATCTAATACTATAATTATAGGCCAATAAGAATTTTTTTTTTTTTTTTTTTCATTCATGTTAACTCTAAATCTAACACGAAAAAAATCCTCACCTAAAGAAGTTTCGACAAAATCATCTTATAATAATTGAAATAATCGAATTGTCCCAAAAAAAAAAAGAGGAGTTTAATGTAGTATAATGTCATAAATCATTAGCACATATTATAAAATCGGAAATAATTATAAACCTAACAAGGAGCATGCTCCTGGATGGTGAATTCATCTGTTTGGATTAGTTCTATTGACTTAATTATTAAAAAATGCTTATTTCAGTTAATTAATATAGGCGCTAATAAAATTAAATAAATAAATAATTTTTCTAATTAAATGAATTTTTTATTTGTATGTTTACAAACAAATATTATATAGGCAAACAAATATTAGCTTCCTTCTTCCAACTTTAAATTGTTATCATTTGAAAGAAAAAAAAATAATAATAATAATAAATAAATAATAAATCATACAAGAAGAAATCATTTCATCTGCTAGAAGTGATTAATTATTTATTTAATTTTTTTAAAGTAAAAAACATGCTCACAATCCTATAGAATTTTGAACTCAAGACTTTTTATTTGCTAGAACAAGAAGAGAATAATTATTCAATTTGAGATCATAGTACAACTTTATAATTAGTTAATTCTTTGGCAAATTAATAAGATATAAAATGTATATTACGTACTTGAAATTAGGGTTGCGAGTTGGGCTTGGGCCAACCTGAATTCTACCCAAAATGAGTTATCGACATAAGTCAGTCTGAATATTTTGGACCGGTCAGATGGATTTTACAAGTCAATTTATATATATATATATATATATATTTCTAAATATGCAAATTACATTTTTATTTTCCATGTTTATAAATATCAAAATTTTTAAGAAAATTTTATTTTTTAAACATCAATATTTTGAACAAATCAAGCGAGTTTCAGGAATCAAAGTTTTTAAATGAGTAATAGACTAATAATATGAATTTGATCTTTTATCATTTTTCAAATATATTGATGGAATTAGAATATGTTTTTAAGAACAATTACTTAATTACATCTTACAGCATTAAATTTAATTAACTCCTTTCTTTTTTTCAACACTTTGCACAATTTAATTCCAATAATTGAGTGTACTAAAGAATTGATTCTGCAATTAATAAAAATATTTTGTGCAATTAATTGATTTACAATCTCATAGACTTTTCTTCTTTCTCATAAAAAAAATAAATAAATAAATAAAATAAAATAAAATAAAAAAAAAAAAAAATGAGACATTTCCCAATCACTTCCCCAGGAGCTTCCAACATGTCATATATGCCGAGAGTTTCGCCGCCACGAAACTTGATCAAGTCTCTAGGCTAGTTTCTATGTCACTGGACTCATCTTTCAGGGACCTTTTTCGTCAACAAGCACGTACAGATCGTGAAGCACAGAATCGTTATGACTGATGCAGAGGTTATTCCTAGGACTAGTATGAGCATTTGTTTATGTTCCATTTCATGAGAATTGTAATGGGTTGTTTGGGTTTTGGTAGTCAAAGGCCCAATATCTGGGTGGAATGTAAAAAGACGTATAAAGTCAGAATGTGATTGTTGGAAGTAGAATGCAAATAATGAGGTGATGGAGATGGACAAAAGAAGAAGAAAGAAGAGTGAGACAGAATTGAATTATAAAAGTTCTAGAATTTCTTACAGATTGATGAGAATTTCTATTACCGGTAGAAGAGGGCTTATTTTGGAAGTGAGTTGCAAGGGGAGAGAGAGAGAGAGAGAGAAGAAAGAAGAGGGGGGAATTTTTTTTTTTTCTTAATTTTTTTTTTTTTTTTTTTTTTTTTCAATTTCGGGTTGAGTCCGAACCCGACCTAAACATGTCTGGGTTCTCCAAAATCCAATCCAATTTGAGCCCGATTTGAGAATTTAAAAATTCAAAATTCAAAACTTTTGGGCTGAATTTGAATTGGACTGGATTAATCCGTGCAATTTGCACCCCTACAAAATCAGTTAGTTATAAAGTTTCTATCTAAGTGCACATGTAAAATTTTCATGTTATATGTGGTACAGTGGGATCTCATTTTTAGAAAGTTCTCACTCGGTTTGAAGTGTCTTGACTGTGTTGATTATTATCACTCTTACTTTTGTCATCATTTTTTATTATCTGAGTCCTTAGTTTGTTACTCACAAAAAATTACTGCAAATCAAAAAATTGTACAAAAAATTTGATTGTTTAATTTTTTTGAAAGATTTTTTTTTTTTTTGGCTAAAAACTATAAAATTAAGTGTCTGAAAAATAAAAAAAAATAAAAAAAACCTAACTTGCTCTCGCCTCCGCTCACTCGTTTTGTTCGCGCTACAAATATACACGCACATTATTGTATCGAACGTGGTCTTCAATTTGGGCTTTTGCATGCAAGATCAAGTAGTCAATATTGGCAGCGTTTGAAACAAAGGCCATGACAAGTGGGTGGACCAGCAACCACTTATCTTGGTCAAGATATTTGGAAATTGCTCTTTCATATTTTAACGTGGATTCATTTATATCCCATTCAAATTCTACGATTTTATTAAGCACCACTTTTATAATTTAGATAGACACAACTTTGCAACGAACTACTTTAGAATTTTATTCAGAAATAAATTCCAAACTGCCCACTGGTTGCAGTGCAATTCTTGTTTATAATTTATTCATGCAATGTTAGTTTTTTAAGTTCACAGTGACATCATCATCACAACTGTTCGTGTCAAGGGGCACCGTTTTCTTTGCTATATTATGTTACATTTTTACTTTCACGTTTTTCTACGTTACAGATATCTCTGTAGCAGATGATCAGCTAAGACAATACCAGTCAATCAATGAAAACATGACCTTAGTATCTCCCGGAAGTTCCGTCTTGGTTTCTTCAGTCCAACCAATTCCAGTAACCGATTCTTGGGAATATGGTATGACAGCATCCCAACTCAAACTGTAGTCTGGGTTGCAAACTGCGATAACCAGCTTAATGATTCATCGGGAATTCTAAAGATTGGCGATGATGGAAATCTGATTCTTCAAGACCAGACAGAAAGAGTTGTTTGGTCTACTAATATTCTTGAGGATTCATCATCAAATTCAACTACGGTTGCACAGCTCTTAGATTCTGGAAATCTTGTTTTGAGACATCATGAAAGCAGAGATGGTTATATTTGGCAAAGCTTTGACCATCCTTCTGATACCCTGCTAGCAGAAATGAAGATAGGATGGGAGTCGGGAAATGGTTTGGACCAGTTTTTGACATCCCGGAAGAGTGTGCAGATGACCCTGCTCCTGGAGAACTTTCTTATGGCATCGATCCTCATGGGGTTCCACAATTAGTCATCCGTGAGGGCTCTACAAAGAAGTTCCAAAGTGGACCATGGGATGGTGATCAATTCATAGGAATCCCTCTTGTACCCAACCTTCTCTTCATTCCCAAGGTCATCATCAACAATTCAGAGGGGATGAACTATGAGGATGGTCCCAACTACATACATGCTTGTTTTGCCTATTTTGTCCTTGTTACATTATGGATGTTATGTTTACTTGTGCATGATGATATATATTTGTTTTACTCCATATACTTGATACTTGATACTCTGATATGTGCTGTGTAGTTTAATTATTTTGCCAGGGCCTGTGGACCAAGTTTGGGGGTGAATTTCTTGTTTTGCCCCTCTGAGCTACATTTACTTATCTTTGCTGGTTCTACTCGATCTTGGTAATATCTTTGTGACTTCAGCTTTGTTTTCTCACATTTAGTACAATATGCATAATAAGTTGGGGGTAAGGTAGTGCCTTTTAAAATTTGTTGTTATTGTGTAGTGCACAACAAGATGAATATTAACTACTAAGCATAAGTTTGGACCTGTTTTTGTGTTATGATGTTCATATACAGACTAAAATGGATTAAAAATGGCTTGTATGCCAAATTCATGTTAATTAAGGGTTTTTGAAATTTTTTTATATTAGTTGGTAACATGTGGTCCACTTTGTCAGCATGGTTGTAGTCTGATGATTTTGATTCCTAGAATATTTCACTTTGTACATGTTCACACTTGCATGCATTCTGTGGAGTATAAACTTGATATTTTGTTTTGTTTTGTGTTAAACTGAGATAAGTAGGTGAATTTGATAATTTTGAGAACCAATGTATAAAATATGGTATGTATGTAATTAAATAAAAAAGAGCTTTTTCACTGAGTAACTGGGACTCTTGCCTCATTAAGTATTGAGGATTCACGCAGAAAAGTGAAAAAGACAAGAAAATAAGTTGAAGGGTCAGTTGGGTTTGTAGCCTAGGTTGCTTGAGTAATTAAGTCTTTATGGGTGTTTTGACACCTAATGCCCTAAAACCATCTAGTTTGGGAGTCGTAGGCTAAAATCTCGTTATTCAAGTGATCTAGAGATCTTAAGAAACCCAAGGATTGCACATTACCCTGTTTGAAAAAAAAAATGAAAAAATGAATGATGAATGAAACAAATGCATATTTGTGAAAATTAGAAAATATACCTTGGGGATCGAGATTTGAAAGGTTTGCTTGTGAATTGAGGGATATCACGGAACAGATATGAGTATGGATGGTAAGCCATATGTTTAAAACTGTAGGTTCACTTTTAAAAAGGATTTTGGGGATCGGGATTATTTGATATGTGATTAGACTGACATGTGGGAACCATGATTAATTGTTGATTTGATGTTGGAGGTTCGAAATTTTTCCTGAATAATATAGTTCTCTATACTTGTTGTATTTGCGTGTTATGTATTGTTGGGATATTGTGATATGCGGAACATGTTTAAATGAGCATATTGTGCATTAAGGCACAAATTTTGAGATGTTTGTGGGTATCATCACTGAAAGCCCTCACGAGATTATAACTCGTTCGCTAGGGTAACCTTGGAGTTTAAAGGCTTGTTGCATAGGCTAAATGCAACCGTGATTCCCACGAAAATGACTTTTTAGATTCTATATTGCTAAGGGACTAAAAATATGTAAGTTTAGGGGTGTGATGAATGCTGAATATTGCATATTCAAGCCCATAAACGTGCGTATGTTACGATCCTAAGTGATACTTTTATTCAGTTTTAGATTGATTTTAGTTTATTTGCTTTTGTAGGTACTTTCCCAAAGAAAATGATAAAATCGTGATTTTGGAGACTTAAAGACTGTTACCGAGGCTTACAGAGTTGTCCAAAACCATCTAAAGCAAGCTTGGAGTCTAAAAGGTGATTCTGGAGAAATTCAAGTGCAAAAGTTCGAGCACAAGTTTCCTAACTAGAGCACAAAGTGGAATGAAGCAAGAAAAACAACTAAGGCATAAAAGCTCGAGCGGAGAATTCTTTGCTCGAGCCTTTTCCAAAAGGCTCAAGCTTAAACTCCCTTGGGAAGATGAAAAGACGCTTCGGAAATTCCAGTTGCCAGAGCTCGAGCAGAATGCAAAAAGCTCGAGCACTATCCAAAAAGCTTGAACAGAAGCTTCTTTTCTCGAGCACTCCAGCCAAGGTGATCGAGCACCCTGAAAAAAAGTCCAAAAATATTCTAAGTGTTGATGAAAAAGACGTTTCGGAAATAAAGTGAAGAAATTTGGCTAAATATAGAATTCCTGCTCAAGTCTTGCCTAAAAAGCTCGAGCAGCAGCCAAAAAGCTCGAGCAGAAGATTCTTTGCTCGAGCCTTTTCCCTTCAATTAGAATTTTTAATTGTGGGATTAATTCTAATTAAGTCCTATTAAGTCTCAAACGGGCCTAAATGACCCCAGAAGACCTAAAGCACATTCAATCATTGATAAAAGTCGGTTACTTCTATAAAAGGATGCACAAGGCCACAGAAAACCTTCTTCTTCTCTCTTACAAATAATTGGCGGCTTTTATGGTTTCTGAAGTTTTTCTCTGAAACATTGAAGGTGAAGATTCTCAGAAGAGAAGTGCAGTCCATAATGATGAAGTCTACAACAACACAGAGATATCTTCCATCGTTTTGAGTAGCTAAATCCTCTTTTAGGGCATTAATGTAACCTAAATCTAATTATTATGGTTTGATTGTTCTATACTTTGGGATTTTAATTGTTAATGTATAATTGATTGCATGATTTTAAGCAATTGACTTAGATCTTATAAGCAATTGGGATTTTAATCAAATAAATTAGTTTTTGATAAATTGATACCTTGTCTTAGATTTAATTCTTCTAAAATCATATTCAACATATTTTTATTATGGTTTTAATCAACACAGATGATATCTTCCATCGTTATGAATAGCTAAATCCTCTCTTAAGGCATTAATGTAACCTGAATCTGATTATTATGATTTGATTGTTTTATACTTTGGGATTTTAATTGTTAATGTATAATTGATTGCATGATTTTAAGCAATTGACTTAGATCTTCTAAGCAATTGAGATTTTAATCAAATAAATTAGTTTTTGATAAATTGATACCTTGTCTTAGATTTAATTCTTCTATAACCATATTCAACATATTTTTATTGTGTGAGATTGGAGGCTAAAGACTTCTTGGATAATAAGAATAGAGATCATGTAATAGTGTATAAATAGTTTTTGTGAATGAATGTTTTCATAATCTATGCTTAGGAAAGATGAATTATACTACAAAATTAGTTAGAAATAGATAGGTAGATAATTCGTACCAACCGAAGATAGGTTATTATTAGCTGAAACTCATGATTCATCTTTCTTTAAATTGAATTAAACAAATGTTATTGAGTTTAATTCCGAGTTATATATAATATTGAATTCCCAAGGTTGGATAATTGACCATAGTATGAGGGTCGTGGTGAAGTCAATCCCTAGGATCTTCTCTCTCTGATCTCAATCCTTTTACTTAGTTTAATTTTTGTTCATGTTATTGAATCACAACACACAACAAACAAAACTTCCTTCTAAATTAAAATAGTAATTAATTTAAAACTTGATAAACCACCATAGTTCGAGTTCTCATTAAGTCTTATTAAATCCCAGACGAGCCCAGATGACCCTAGAAGACCTAAAACCCATCCAATCATTGATAGAAGTCAGTTACTTCTATAAAAGAATGCACAAGGCCACAAAAAACCTTCTTCTTATCTCTTACAAACAATTGGCGGCTTTTAGGGTTTTTGAAGTTTTTCTCTAAAGTATTGAAAGTGAAGATCTTTAGAAGAGAAGTGCAATCCATGATGATGAAGTCTACAATAACACAAATGATATATTCCATCGTCATGAGTAGCTAAATCCTCTCATAGGGCATTGATGTAACCCGAATCTGATTACATGGTTTGATTGTTCTATACTTTGGGATTTTAATTGTTAATGTATAATTGATTGCATGATTTTGAGCAATTAACTTAGATCTTCTATGCAATTGGGATTTTAATCAAATAAATTGGTTTTTGATTATCTTAGATTTAATTATTCTAAAACTATATTCAATCTATTCTTATTGTGTGAGATTGGCGTCTAAGGGTTTCTCGGACAATAAGAATAAAGATCATGCAATGGTGCATAAACCGTTTTGTGAATGAATGTTTTCATAATCTATGCTTAGAGAAGACGAATTATATTGCAAAATTAGTACTCGTCATCCACTACCTCATCCGCAAACAACCGAATGCTTCAACAACCATACACTATCTACCTTATCGTGCAATCCTACACCATCCAGCTAAAATTAACCACCATCCCTTATCTTGAGACTCACTCGACAACCGAGCCACTGAATCAACTCACCAAGAGTCGAAACACCCATTACGTACCTCCGTAGGTCTCCCAAAATAAAAATCACATCTCAATTAACTAATATCTAAAACCTCCTTTTACACGACTACGAAATGAATCACATCCATCAATTGGTCACCCAATACCGACATGACTCCACCCAACGCTTTCGTCAATCTATACTTAACACCCATAGCTAACACATCTCACCAAACTGTACCAAAGTACCCAAAACCGACGTCCACAATCCATAAACCACACTCGTAATTCTACCAATCTCTATTATACCTACCACAAGCTGGTGCGAAGAGAACCGTCACACCCAAATCGTGACCTAAGTTACAAACAAACCTCTTAAGGTCATATATATATATATATATATATATATATATATATATATATATCTCACAAAAACCTCACATCGTACGCCTGACCTCCACGGTCACAAGAACCCATACACTAATATATGATTCTTATACACCTCACCCTGGACACCACACTATGCCATATGCTATCATTCTAAGGTTGTGCCCCGAGCACCATACTATGAAAACAATGGGAAAACTGAAACAATCCCCGCACCGCATAGCTCAATCCACGAGCTAGAAATCCATGCCATTCATTCAATAAGAACTAGCACTCAACAACCCTAGAGCAACCGAGCTCCCCGCCTACTTAGGTCATAACCCTCACAGTCATCTATGTCGCCACAAATACTGTACTGTACTAGTAACCTTCACATGCTCGTCCGCATACTCTTATACATACATATATATATATATATATATATAATAACCAGGACCTATACCTTGACATAGTCATGTCCTATCATATCAACTAAAATACATGCCTAGTAATTCATTATGTAAAATTAAACATCCCGTTCATCATCATCCTTTCATAAAACACACGCTTGCATAACTTGTGCTCGACTACCCGTCACATTACCATGTACAACTACCATTCACTTTACTATTTAACACATGATTGCACAAACCGTGCCTACAACTTGCCATTATACCATGCACCTTACACTTGTCATCTCATCACAATTAACATGCTTTCAATCATTTACACATTTCATTGACATAGCCATTTATGTATGTAACACACATTTTAGCAATTAAACACGTAAGCATGTGAACACTTAGCAAGTAAGCATACCTTTTAAAACCGTAAATACATAAGCACATAACACATAGTCAATGCAAGTCAACCTCTCACCCCGTCTAGGTAAGCCACTACCCGTCGTCCGAAAGGTTTTTGAACCTTGACTCTGATACCAAATCTGTAACAACATAAACCCGGTAGTCCAAATCGCTAACAGGTCCCGACCCGACCCGTGAACACCCAATGATAAAATGGTTATTTTACATTAAGTAAGGATAATTTGACCCCAATCACGTCAAATCCTAGTCATTCCATAACATTATAAAAGGTTCTATAGGCATTAGTCATGGTTTGTCCAAAAGTACCCCTGCTCGGTTCAAGGAAAATCCCAACACTGTCTCACTAAAATAGTCATATCTCTCAGTATGATTCAAATCTGAAGATGAGGTTGGTATCATTGGAAAACTAACTTAAAAACCTTGAAAATAGACTCAAGAAAGACCTTATTTGGGTTTGAAACGAATAAGTTATGATTGCTCGAAGTTAGAGGTCTAAAGCTAAAAGTCACCAAGGCAAAATGATTCTAGGAGACCTAAACCGGTTCAGAATACTAGAACCGGTTTAACATGGGCAGTATGCCCACGTTGGGAACCAAATTTCACCCCTGAACTGGTTCCACATGCCAGAATGATAAAAATGACCCATAATTGACTAAATTGAGTATAAAGAGTTATGGGGACCTCTCAGGTCCTAAGAAAGGTTATTAGGATGCTTCCTAACCTGCTTAAACATAATATATATAACATCCAAAGCTCCATTTACACTCATAAACAAGAATATGAAAAATCATTCAATCACCTATATAACTATTCTTCATTCATTTAAGTTACATAATCAAAATAGTCCATTTATATTCATATTCATTTAGCCATCCATGGTTAAAATAGATCATTACATCATTGTCCAAAATAAACATAATATAGTCCCAAAAGAATAATATTACAAGTCTAAAACCCTTAAGGTCACAATTACAATGCCTTTACAATTAAGATCACATAAGCTATACATTGGTCACAAGGATATCGAAAAATGCTCTCATCAGCCTAACTATATTTGTGAGAGTCTGTCATCAGCTACGCCTTTGCTATAACCTGAAAAATGTTAATAGAAGGGGTGAGCACGGAGGCTCAGTAGAAGATGCCTAAAGCGCCAACTTTAGACTCCCTTGAGCCACACATCACACATTGGGATAAAAGGAATCCGAGATCATACTTGGAATTTTTATAGCATTTAATCCAGTATCAATCCTCACAATAGCATTTAGGCATGTCTATACGGATATGCATAAAATGCAATGCAACGCACCATATTCTCCCAACCTTGGTCTCAATCGACCCCAACTTGGCCTATATTGGCCCTAGACTTGGTTTCTACCGACCCTAAACTCACATTTGAAAACTGCTAACTGACTTTACTAAGGCGAGATTGATAATTATCCCTGGTTTCAAATCCAGCAACCATTTTGGGGCCTAGTACAAACTTTTTCATGTCCTACATCAGACCGCACTTCCTCCAGGTCAAGTTAGTACCGGACTCGAAAAATCCGATTCCTTTTATGAAAAATCTTTTCAAAATCCTATTCTCATTTCCTTTTCCCACCATGTCATGCAAATGCCTCATTTTCATCAACTTAACATCAAATTCGTCTAGGGGTGCAACTTGGGTTGGGTAACCCGAACCCAACCCGAGCCCAGCCCGATTTTCACGGGTTTGGACAATCATTTTTACAATTAGGGTTAAGCTTGGGTTGAAAAATCTCAACCCAAATTTAATTAGGGTTCAGCTTGGATTGAAGTGTTAGCAACTCTAGCCAACCTGAACCTGAATTCTAATATTATTTTCATATATATTTTTACTTTTAAATACATTATATATAAAATTTAAACTATGATTACTTTTTTCTTTTCAACATTTTTTTTGTTAAATCTTTAACTTATTGTTTGTTATCATTTAGGAGAATTAATTTTCTAAAAATTTGTTTATAATTTATTAATAATCTACAAAAAAAATTTTAAACTTCTTCTTGTTTAAGAGTAATTTAATCTAAAACTAATTGAAGATCATATTAAATTTTTGGTATAAAGATTAGCCATATGAGCAACCCGAATTAACGCGAAGTTTTAATCCAAAATCTAAACCCGAGTTGTAAGCCCGAATTTAAAAGTATAAAGATGGGTTAGGCTCGGGTTGAGTAGTTAAAATTGAAGATAGAGTCAAGGTTGGGCTCAAGTTATACCTTAAACCTGGCCAACCCGCCCGAGTTGCAGCCCTGAATTCGTCTATGTAACAATAATGGTATAAACATGGCATATTCAGTACAGTTGATATAAGTAAGACATTTACTAGCATTTGGTTTCAAGCAAGGCATTCTCTATCAATTAACCACAAGTAAGACAATTGTCATAGAATCACTTATAGGCATATTATCTTTAATACAATGGAAATAAGCATAACATTTTCCTTAATATAGCTACCAACATGCTCACAACATCTTTCACATTTCACAAGTATGCTAGTACTTAGAATTTAACACAAATGGCATCACATCTAGTACACATAAGCATGCTTGAATCATTAAAACACATCACCATCTTTCAACTAGCAACAAAATCATGATGTAACATTAGACATGAAATTAAATGAAGAACATGCTAGTAGTTCTCAATTAGAGACAAAGTTTAGGGATTTAGAAAACCCCTACCTCCATAGAGCAAGTCAAACAAGCCCTAAGGCCTCCCAAATCTCAAATCCCTCCAACCATGCATTATTAGTCTCAAATGATAGCCCTTGTCAAGCTCTTCCACTTTCTTTTCTTGGCTTTCCTCAAAATTTTATCCTAGCCTCTCCAAATCTAAGCTTTAAACATTGGTGTATGTGGTGTATAGATGGATATATAAAGAGAAACAGAAGAGATAGAGAGAGAAGGGGCAATCCAAAATGAAGAAGAAAATGGAGCATGGCTTGGTCTTCCTTTAGATTCCAAGGCTACAATTGTGCCAAGTGTAAACAATTGGTGGGTTTCTAACTTATGCCAAAGTTATCTTATTGCCCTCTATAACCATTAAAACTCCTATGTCCTAATAAAAAATCTTTCAAAATGTATAGATATAGGTGAATGCATATAAATGTAAAAATACCACAATGCCCTTTAATTAAAATGGCAAAATCGAGAGAAGTTCCCGAACTCGAAAATTGCCCTTATTTCTGAAAAATTCTAAAAATGATACCATTACTTCTAATTGACTTAGAATAATTAAAATGAACTTCTAAAACCCTTGGCTCAAGGAAATGACTATTAGGACCCGTGTGGAATGCAAAACGAGGCACGAAAAATAAATAAATAAAAATTTGAAAAAAATCCAAAAAATCCAGGACATTACAAACATTCTCCCCTCCCGAACTCGCAATACTCTCATTGCGGTCGAGCCACCTGCCTACCCGGATGGACATCCGGACACCGTTCTGGCCGGATACTTGGCGTGACACCAAAACAAGGATCGTGTCTTGCTCTGATACCAAATGTAACGTGTGGATATTTGTCCATTTACCTATAAATTTTAACTATTAAGTTAGTCTAACGCCCTCCCATATATACCCAATCAATCTTCCATTTGAATTGGATGTAGAACAAATTTTTCCTTGTAACGCCTTAATACTATCACTTGGATGTGAGACCTACACAACACACACTCATGCTTAGGAAAGATGGGTGTGTTTTTATTGACGGGGTATTGCATAACCGTTAAATATTATTTTCACTATAGTAATATCATCACCTTTTCCTCTGCCTCAAGATGGAAACATGTGGTGACCCTAGATGATTCCACGTGGCCATCTAATAAGTTGGTGTCATTGCATTTGCCATTTTTTATTGAAATAATAGTGTATTGTGGAATAGGTGACTATTTTTTAAGCATACGATTGTTACATAATCTAGAAAGACTATTATGACAAAAAAAATAATAATAATAAATAATAATAATAATCTAGAAAGACTATTAGCCTGCTAAGCATACGATTGCAGAAATTCTTGTGTCGTTTTATTCAACCCATATAAACAAATTGGTAATGAAAAAAAGGGCAATCAACAAATTATTCAACCCACGTGTCTGGCAAATTTGAAAAAAAGGGCAATAAACAAATTAGACCGAGTCAGCATATGAGTCTATAAATCATAGACTCAACACCAGATTGTTAAAAAACAAAATCAACATCAGATGGATGCGTGTATGCAAACGGGGAACCCGAACTGGAACAACGGGGGATGAAAACTGAAAGATATGGATTTTGATTTTTTGAACAATCTGAAATGATATGCCGATATGGGTTTGAACTTCTTCTTGTAGATTTTGTAGTTTGCAGTTGCAGAGAGAGAGAGAGAGAGAGAGAGAGGGGGAGTACAGAGAAAGGGGGGGAGGGGGGTTCAGATATATATATATATATATATATATATAATTTATATTGTGTATATATATATATATACACAAAAAAAAGATCATAAAAAATTTCACCAAATAGGATTTAGTTTGCAAAAACAAGAATTACAGACCTTGATTAGTTGATTTAGAAAAAAAATTAAAACAAAACCCATTCATACAAGTAGCAGTTGCAGAAAGAGCTTCTGATTCTTGTAGATTTTGTAGTTTGCAGTTGCACAGAGAGAGAGAGAGAGACAGAGAGAGAGAGAGAGAGGGGGCAAGTTCAGAGTCAAGAACAAGAACAAAGATGCAGGCGATTGGGGAGGCTGAAATGATTTTTGACAGGGTTTGCTTGTTATATAAATGACAAATTTACCCATTTAATTTTATATAATTTACATTCTTATCTTTTACATTAAATTTGATAATTAATTTATATATATTTTTATTTTTATTCAGGTAAATAAGCTAAATATAATAGACACTCACAAAAAAAAAATTTTGATTATTGAAAATTGGTAGTTAAAAATGGTAATTGGAAATGATAGTTGGAAAAAAATAGTTGTTGTATAAAAAAAATAACATTTTGGATGAAATGCATTATTGGAGCAAAGTTGTTAAAATATAACATTTTGACACTATAACTCCTGTCAAAATATAAATTTGGCATGTAAAAATGATGCGCATAATGTACCCAATAAAAGCATAATGGTGCGCATAGTCATATGAGCATTGCGAGCTCCAAAAATGAAAATATATATCTTCTTTAAAGAAAAACATTTTGCTTGGGTAAATTTTATAATCATCAAAAGTTATAACAAAAGGCTAGCGTTTAAGTAGCCATTTGAGTAGGTGGGTGTGTGAGTTTATTGCTAGGATTTATATATATATATACACTTTTTTATTGCCAGGGCTAAAAAAAAATAAGAAGAAAAAGGCAAGCTTTAGAATATATGTAAAAACTCCAAAAGAATTATTAATTCATATTTAAGAAAAAAAAAAAAAAAAAAGTAGTAAAATTATCTGGGAAAAAAATTTCTAAAAATCATCTGAAATTAGGGGAAAATATGTAAAAGTACTGTTGGCAGATATTTTACTAAAAGACCTTAATCAATTTATTAGGAGGGTAAAACCTATGATTAATATAGTAAAGATCTTCAAACAAAAAAAATACCTTAGTATCATTTTAATTTGGATGTATGGATAATGCATATGATAGGAAATACGTCAAAACTGACCATGTATTTAGAATTCACTATTGATGTTGTTGACCAGAGCAGTCTCCCACGTCTTTAATTCCTTTGGAAATGATGATCTAATGGGCATATCATAAAAACTGTTCATGTCAATGGGCACCGTTTTCTTTGCTATATCCTGGCATTTTTGCTTTCATATTTTTGTTCCATATAGGTATCTCCCTAGCAGATGATCAGCTAAGTCCATACCAGTCAATCAATGGAACCATGGCCTTGGTATCTGCCGGAAAAAAGTTTCGGCTTGGTTTCTTCAGTCCCAACAATTCCAGAAACCAATACTTGGGAATATGGTTTGAAAGCATCCCAACTCAAACTGTAGTCTGGGTTGCAAACCGCGATAACCCACTTAATGATTCATCAGGAATTCTGAAGATTGGCGAAGATGGAAATTTGATTCTACAAGACTACACACAAAGAGTTGTCTGGTCAACTAATATCAAGGATTCATCATCAAAATCAAGTACTGTTGCACAGCTATTAGACTCTGGAAATCTTGTTTTGAGACATGAAAGCAGAGATGGCTATATCTGGCAAAGCTTTGATCATCCTTCTGATACCCTGCTAGCAGGAATGAAGCTAGGAAAGGACTTGAAAAATGGTCTGGACAGGTATTTGACATCGTGGAAGAGTGCAGATGACCCTGCTCCAGGAGAACTTACCTATGGCATCGATTCTCGTGGGTTTCCACAATTTGTCTTGCAGAAGGGCACTATCAAGAAGTTCCGAAGCGAGCTGTTGAATGGTGAGCAGTTCAGCGGACAACATTTTCTACCCGACCTTCCCATCATTCCCAAGTTCATCACAAATTCAAAAGAGATGTATTATGAGTATGATATCAAGAATGAATCTATTCTTACAAGGTATGTCTTAACTTTTTGGGGTTCACTCCAACGTTATGTATGGAACAATGGTGGCCTTGAATGGATTGCCATGCATGGTGTGCCTAGCGACACATGTGATAATTATGGCCAGTGTGGTTCAAATAGTATTTGCACAACCAGTGATACTAGGATTTGCAGCTGTTTGACTGGATATGTACCCAGAGTAGAACAAGATTGGGAGACGCTGATTTGGTCTGGTGGGTGTGTTAGGAAACAGCCATTGAATTGTTCCAAAGGAGAGGGATTTATAGAGATGAAGGGTATAAAAATCCCCGATTTATTGCAGTTTTGGATCAACACCGGTATGAGCCTTGAGGATTGTAAAATGGAGTGCTTGAAGAATTGTTCTTGTTCAGCTTATGCTAATTCACAAGTTACTGGAGGGGGAAATGGTTGCTTGCTGTGGTATGGGGACCTGCTTGATATCAAGCGTATCATAGAACTTGGTAATCAAAAACTTTACATACGGGTCACAGCTTCGGAGCTAGGTATATTTCTTGTGTTTTTTTCATACAAGATTACACTACAATCAAGTTGACTAACCCGTTAATCTCTCTTGGATTGTTTTGCTAATTAAATTCATATTGTTGATATCAGATTCCAAGAAGATCAAGCCACTAAAGTTGGTGGTGATTGTCGTATCAGTAGCTATAGTAATGCTTCTTGTTGCTTCTTGCATAATATGGAAGAGGAAAGCACAAAGACAAGGTAAACTTACGACCTTTATTGCAAAAATCCAGCTTTTAATGAATTTAATAATACTTGAAAAAGTAATAAGACCTAACTATGTCAAGTCCCTGAACGTTGTCTCCATGATTATTGACTTCTTTACAATTTTGAATTTTACATATTTTTATTATCTAATAGAGGGAATTTTTTTGTCGAAGTACTTTAAAATTTTATTCAAAAAATAAACTCCAAGCTGCCAGCAAGTTGCAGTGTATTTACAGTTTACAGTTTGTCCATTTGTTGACCAATGGTTGCTTCAATAGAAAAATCTCAAAAACAAGTTCTGAATTGCTTTTTTTTGTAGAAGAGAAGAAAAATGAGAAGGCGTTTTATGAAACCTCCTGGACCAATACATTCAGATTATAATAGTATGTACTTCTTTGTGTAAGGGATTAAAATTGTATTGACCATATTCTTCAGATAAAAACTTCACCAAACTGACCAAAAGGTCCAGTTTTTAAGTTAGGGAATGTTCTTATGATCCAAAATAATATTAGTTATATATTCTTGAACCTATTGTGATTAACACATATGCTATCAGACTCTCAAGCTAGAGATGAAGAAAACATGGAATTACCAATTTTCAATATGATCACCATTGCGGAAGCAACCAACAATTTTTCGGATTCAAATAAGATTGGAGAGGGTGGCTTTGGACCCGTATACAAGGTAATCTCACTTGAAGTATGTAATTATGATTAACATATGGTGTGTGTGTGTGTGCGTGTGTGTATACAGAGAGGAGAGATTTCTTGTGTGTTTGTGAGTGTGTTCGCTAATGTATGAAGCAAAATTCCAATCTTTGGCATGATAGCCTAAAAAATCGTGTTAACTTTAAATTTTACAGGGTCAGCTAGCAACTAGACAAGAGATAGCAGTCAAGAGGCTTTCAGAGAATTCAAAACAAGGACTCCAAGAATTTAAAAACGAGGTTATATTAATTGCAAAACTACAACATCGAAATCTTGTGAGGCTTTTGGGATGCTGCATTCAAGGAGAAGAGAGAATATTAATATATGAGTATATGCCCAATGGAAGCTTGAACTCCTTTATTTTTGGTTTGGCTCTCAACCTTGCTTAAATTGAATCTTTTTTAGGCATTATTATAAAATTATTTTGACAAATATGAGTATTAAATAAAGTTGTTTTCTTTGTTACAACACTTCTCTTCTTATTAATATTATTTGAAGGTGGTCCAAATGATGCAAGTAAATCTCTTTCATGGAAGAGGCGCTTTAATATTATCGTGGGGATTGCTCGAGGGCTTCTTTATCTTCATCGGGATTCAAGATTGAGGATTATTCACAGGGATCTTAAAGCCAGCAATGTGCTACTAGACAATGATATGAATCCTAAAATCTCAGATTTTGGCATTGCTAGAGCTTTTGCAGGAGACCAATTACTAGACAAAACTAGAAGGGTGGTTGGAACTTAGTAAGTGCCCAAATATTTTTTATGGTACATGCATATAAGATAACTTTCGTTGATTAATTTCTTTACTTTTCTTACCATGGCACAGTGGTTACATGTCTCCGGAATATGTCATCGATGGCCTCATTTCCATGAAATCAGATGTCTTTAGTTTTGGAGTGCTAGTTTTGGAAATAGTGAGTGGAAAAAGGAACAGACAGTTCCATCATTCAGACCATGACCACAACCTTCTTGGACATGTAAGTTCATTGTCAAAATTGGTTTTCTTCCTCATTGCAGTTATTCTGTAAGGTTAATTATTTCACGATATATGCTTTGTCAGTCATGGAAATTACTTATTGAAGGGAGGGCCACTGAGCTAATAGATCCACAAATGGAGGATTCATTTCCAATATGTGAAGTACTAAGATGCATACAGATCGGCCTCTTGTGTGTGCAGCAACGCCCCGAAGATAGACCAACGATGTCCTTTGTGGTCTCATTGTTTGATAGTGAGGGTACAATGTTTCCCCAGCCTAAGCAACCTGGTTTCTACTCGGATAGAAGCCCTTGTGAGACAGAGTCTCAGGTAAAGGAAAGAACTTGTACGATAAATAAGATGACCATTTCTATAGCAGAGGGTCGGTAGAAGTAACTTATAAAACGACCCACATATTTATTAGGAGGCATAAAAAGTGAATACAAATTATTCCTTCCACCACTTTTTTTTAAAACCCTTATGTTTGTCTTTAATATTGATATGGTATTTAAGTAGGCTCACATATAAATATATTTTAGTGTGATAGGATGGTAGGCTCGGTAAGTTATTTATTTTTGGAATATTTTTGTAGTCTCTTTCATCCGCGAGCTTCTTATGACACAACAAACAATTGGAATAAGAAAAGGTTCGAACTTAGTGGTAGTCTTTCACCTTCTAAAGTGTTCACATGTTGACGAGTTCACAGTTCAAAACTTCAAATGCCGGAAGGTTTCAATGTGGTCGTGCCAGAGTCGAGGTCCACCCAAAAGTGTTTAATTATTCCAATCTTTGGCGAGTTGAACAGCCAAGTTATCAGGGGAGTGAGAGTTAGAATGACCTAGAGTGCTAAAGAAGATTGTTATTGGTTCAACACAAATGTGTTTATCCAAATGTAACCTATTTGCATACACAATAATCATGAAATCACTGCAACTTCCTACAATTTTGAGTAAAACAATTATATAATCAATAAGAAGCATATAATGAATGAATAATCACTTATAATCACTCAAACAAGATGCAAAAGGGAAAAGGAATGAAACAGAATCAATTAAAAATATACATATATGTATTATTTGTCGTTTAATTTAGCGCACATACAATTCAATCCAACCACTAACTAAACAAACTAAGACATATTTAAGCAGAAATTCCAAACTTTAGGAAGATTCTGGATACCGACCTAGTAATGAAGAAGACTCAAGTCACTCGATGGAAGTTGGTTGTGCTTGAAATTGCTTCAAAAAATATCCCCAAATTACGAAGTCGAAAGCCACCGTTTAAGAACACGCGTAAACCGGCGAAGCGGACTTTTAGGGTTAGGGTTTCGCCGTTGACATTAAAGGAGTGAAAGGTAATAGTTATTTGTTAGTGTGCGTGTGTGAGAAACACACAGATACCAACTTGGAGAACGGGAAGAAAGGGTTATTCAATCCAAACGACGCCGTCTCTTTTTTAAGTCAAATAATAAACTTTTATGTAATTTAATCTAATTAAATCAATTTGTATATCTAATATACGAAAAAATTCCTCACCTAAAGAAGTTTCTATAAAATCATCACGTAATAATTGAAATAACCGAATTGTCCCAAAAAAAAATCAAAAATAATTATAAACTTACCAGGAGCATGCTCCTGAATCGTGAATTCAAATGTTTGGATTAATTCTATTGACTTGGATTATTAAAAAAGATTATTTTAGTTAATTAATATAGGCACTAATAAAATTAAATAAATAAATAAATAATTTTTCTAATTAAATTAATTTTTTATTTGTATTTTACATATTATAAGCAAACAAATTTTAGCTTCCTTCTTCCAACTTTAAATTGTTACCGTTTGACTAATTGAAAAAAAAAAAAAAAAAAAAAAAATCATTTCATCTATTAGAAGTGATTACTTATTTATTTAATTTTTTAAAAGTAAAAAACACGCTAACATACTCACTTTTGTTCTATAGAATTTTGATCTCAAGACCTTCTATTTGCTAGAACAGGGAGAGAATAATTATTCAATTTTAGATCATATTACAACTTTATAACTAATTAATTCTTTGACAAATTAATAAGATAGAAAATATATATTACGTACTTGAAATCAATTAGTTATAAAATTCCTATCTATGTGCACATGTTAAATGTCTGTATCGGATATTATCATTCTTACCTCTGTCATCATTGTTTATTATTTGAGTGTTTGGCTTCTAACTCAGAAAAATTAACTATAAGTAAAACATTTGTACAAAAATTTTGATTTGTTAATTTTTGTAACTGAGTGATTTTTTTTTTTTTTTTTTTTTTTTTTAATAATAAAAACTCAGTTATAATAGTACGCATTTTTAAAATAAAATTAAAAAAAACAAAAAAAACAAAAAAACAAATGCATTCACATATTTTTGTACCGAACTTAGTCTTCAATTTCGGCTTTGCATGCAAGATCAAGTAGTCTCAATATTGGCAGCTTGAAACAAAGGCCATGATAAGTGGTGGACCACCGACCACTTATCTTGGTCAAGATATTTGGAAATTGCTCTTTCAGCACCACTTTTATCATCTAGAGAGCCACACAACTTTTCAACCAAAGTACTTTAGAATTTTATTCAGACATAAATGCCAAACTGTCAGCTAGTTGCAGTTCAGTTCTTGCTTCAAGTTAACTGTGACATCATCATCACAACTGTTCGTGTCAATGGGCACAGTCTACTTTGCTATATTCTGTTACATTTTTTCTTTCGCATTTTTCTACGTTATAGATATCTCTGTAGCATATGATCAGCTAAGACAATACCAGTCAATCAATGAAACCATGACCTTAGTATCTCCCGGAAGAAAGTTCCGTCTTGGTTTCTTCAGTCCAACGACTCCAACCAATTCCAGTAACCGATACTTGGGAATATGGTATGACAGCATCCCAACTCAAACTGTAGTCAGGGTTGTAAACCGCGATAACCAGCTTAATGATTCATCAGGGATTCTAAAGATTGGTGATGATGGAAATCTGATTCTTCTAGACCAGACAGAAAGAGTTGCCTGGTCTACTAATATTCTCGAGGATTCATCATCAAAATCAACTACGGTTGCACAGCTCTTAGATTCTGGAAATCTTGTTTTGAGACATCATGAAAGCAGAGACGGTTATATTTGGCAAAGCTTTGACCATCCTTCTGATACCCTGCTAGCAGAAACAAAGAGAGGATGGGAGTCAGGAAATGGTTTGGACCGGTTTTTGACATCCTGGAAGAGTGCAGATAACCCTGCTCCTGGAGAACTTTCTTATGGCATCGATCCTCATGGGGTTCCACAGTTAGTCATCCGTAAGGGCTCTATGAAGAAGTTCCGAAGTGGACCATGGGATGGTGAGCAATTCATGGGAATCCCTCTTATACCGAACCTCCTCTTCATTCCCAAGGTCATCATCAACAATTCAGAAGGGATGAACCATGAATATGGTCCCAACTATGAATATCTTCCTATAAGGTCAGTCTTAAGTTTTTCAGGTTTAGTCCAACGTTTTGTATGGGAAAATAGCAGCCTCGAGTGGATTGTCATACATACCATGCCTAACGATCCATGTGATAATTATGGCCATTGTGGTTCTAATACTATCTGCACAAGCAGTGATACTAGGATTTGCCGCTGTTTGGCTGGATATGTACCCCGAGTAGCGCAAGATTGGGGAATGGTTATCTGGTCCGGTGGGTGTATTAGCAAACACCCGTTGAATTGTTCCAAAGGAGAAGGATTTATAGAGATGACGGGTATAAAAATACCTGATTTATTGCAGTTCCAGATCAACGCTAGTATGAGCCTTAAGGATTGTGAAATGGAGTGCCTGAAGAATTGTTCTTGTACAGCTTATGCTAATTCAGACATCACTGGAGGGGGAAGTGGTTGCTTGATGTGGTATGGGGATCTCATTGATATCAAATGTTTCACAGAACTTGATAAACATAAACTTTACATTCGGGTCACAGCTTCGGACCTTATTTCTGTGTGTGCGCGCACGCATTCGTTTAAGATTATACTAAAATCAAATTGACTAACCCATTAATCTTTTTCTTGGATTGTTTTCTTAAGTGAATTGGATCATAGAATTGATGCCAAATTCCAAGACGATCAAGCCACAGGTGTTGGTGACGATTGTTGCATCAGTAGCTTTAGTAATGCTTCTTGTTGCTTCTTGCAAAATATAGAAGAGGAAAGTACAGAGACGAGGTAAAGTTTAAACCTGCAAAAGATCTAGCTTTTTTATTAATTCAATTGTCAAATAATAATAATAATAATAATAAAACAATTCAATTATACTTGAGTTAAATTTATATTTCATTTTAGGGTGAAATAACCTGATCTCCTTTGAAGTTTGTCCAAATATCTCAAAGCTGAAACCATTGTCAAAATAGCCCTAACACCCTTTGAGGTTTTCCAAATTTCTTTGACTACCCCTAATGTTAGTTAGAGTTAATTATGTCAATGGAATATTTTATAAATGTCCAAAGTACCACTAAGTGAGAAAAAATAACTCACATAACCTTGTTAGTATACCAAATAATCATTTCAGCATATAATTAAACATATAATTCAACATATTTGCTGTCAAAGCAAAATATTCAACAAATAATTCATATAATTCAAGAAAATAAACATTGGCTAATAATAATTCATCATTTGATTCATTAACAAACCACTTGTTAAAAAAAAAAAAAAAAAATTAAACTAAATCGTCTTCAACTGCCCATAAAAAATTATTTTCAACTCTGCATAAGCAATCCAAAAGGATAGATATAAGAAAGGGTATTTTTGTCCAATTAACTTTGGTTGAAATGGTCATTTGGTATTCTAACAAGGGTCATTTGAATCTTTTTCTCTCACCTAAGGGTAGTTTGGACATTTTGAAAATATTCCATTGATTAATGTTAGAGGTGGTCAAAGAAATTTGGACAAACCTCAAGGGGTGTCAATAATTATTTTTGACAAATCTCAAGAGAGGTCAGGGACTATTTTGACAGCAGTTTTGGCGGAGAGATATTTGGACAAACCTCAGGGAAGGTCGGGGCCCAAGGGGTTATTTTGACAATAGTTTCAGCTCAAAGATATTTGAACAAATATCAGGGGAGGTCAAGGTATTTCTTATTATCCTAATGGAGTCATTTTGCTTTCTATGACCCATTTCTTTTTTTCTTTTCTTTTATAAGCAGAATTTCAAACGAAGTAGTTTAGAATTTTATTCAGAAATAAATTCCAAACAGCCAGCAAGTCGCAGTGTATTTCTTGTTTGTAATTTGTCCGCTTTGACTAGTGGTTGCAAAAAATCTCAAAAACAAGTTCGGAATTGCTTCTTTTTGTAGAATTGCAGAAAAACTGTAATGCGTTTTATGAAAACCTCATGGGCCATAACATTCAAATTATAATTTTATGGACGACAGTGGAGTACTTTTATGTTGGTGATTAAAATTGTATTGACCATGTTCTTTAGAACAAAACTTCACCCAACTGGCCAAGAGTTTATGTTTGGGAATGTTATCTTATGATCCAAAATAATGTTCGTTCTATATTCCTGAACCTGTTATTATTAACAGGTATGCTATCAGATTCTCAAGCAAGAGATGAAAAAAACATGGAATTACCTATTTTCAATATGATCACCATCGTGGAAGCAACAAACAATTTTTCTGATTCAAATAAGATTGGAGAGGGTGGCTTTGGACCTGTATACAAGGTAATCTCAGTTGAATTATGTAATTTCGATTATCATATGGTGTCGGTATGTATAGACAAGGAGAGAGCTTGTGTGTTGTGTGTGTGTGTTTGTGTGTGTCGCTCATGTATTGATAGCTGAAGAAGTCATCACATTTCAAATTTTGTAGGGTCAGCTAGCAACTGGACAACAGATAGCAGTGAAGAGGCTTTCAGAGAATTCACAAGAAGGACACCATGAATTTAAAAATGAGGTTATACTGATTGCAAAACTACAGCACCAAAATCTCGTAAAGCTTTTGGGATGCTGCATTCAAGGAGAAGAGAGATTGTTGATTTATGAATATATGCCCAATGGAAGCTTGAGCTCCTTTATTTTTGGTTTGGTGCTCTAACTTTGCTTAAATTGAAATTCGTAATAATGCCAAAAGAATAGTATTAGTAACATGACAAATATGAGTACTATAATACAAACACTTTTATTTATTTATTTAAATATATTTTTTGAAGGCAGCCCAAATGACGCAACTAATTCTCTTGTATGGAAGAGGCGTTTTGATATTATCATGGGGATTGCTCAAGGGCTTCTTTATCTTTGCCAGGATTCAAGATTGAGGATTATTCATAGGGATCTAAAAGCCAGTAACGTGCTACTAGACAATAAGATGAATCCTAAAATCTCAGATTTTGGCATTGCCAGAGCTTTTGCAGGAGATCAATTACTAGAGAAAACTAGAAGAGTGGTTGGAACTTAGTAAGTGCGCAAATATGTTTTTAAGGTGCATCCATATAAGATAAACTTTCATTGATTTCTTCATTTTTCTTATGATAGAACAGTGGTTACATGTCTCCAGAGTACATCGTCGAAGGCCTATTTTCCATGAAATCAGATGTGTTTAGTTTCGGAGTGCTAGTTTTGGAAATGGTAGAGTGGCAAAAGGAACAGACAGTTCCATCATCCGGACCATCACCACAACCTTCTTGGACATGTAAGTTCATTGTTAAAATTGGTTTTCTTCCTCTTTGCAGTTCTTCTGTAAGGTAAATTATTTCATGATTTATGATGCGTCAGGCATGGAAGTTACTGATTGAACGGAAGGCCTTTGAGCTAACAGATCCACAAATGGAGGATTCATTTCCAATGTCTCAAGTATTAAGATGCATACAGGTTGGGCTATTGTGTGTGCAGCGACGCCCCGATGACAGACCGATGATGTCCTTTGTGCTCTTAATGTTTAGTAGTGAGGACACAATGCTGCCCCAGCCTAAGCAACCTGGTTTCTACACAGATAGAAGCCCTTGCGAGACAGAGTCTCGGGTAGAGGAAAGAAGTTGTACAATAAATACGATTACTATTTCAATAGCTGATGGTTGGTAGAAGTAACATCATATTTTAACCCACGTGTCTGTAAGGAGGTATAAAAATGATACAGATTATTTCTTCCGCCACCTTCTGCTAAAGCCTTATCTTAGAATTTAATATGATATGGTAGTTACGTAGGCTTGAATGTAAATATATTTTATTGTGATAGGATGGTAGACTCAGGTAAGCTGTTTATTTTTGGAATGTATTTGCAGCCTCCTTTACCCTGCGAGATTCTTATGAGTTAACATAGTGTTCAAATAACAAATGGTTGTAATTTAGTGATATATCTTCACCTATCAAAATGCAAGTGAAGAGTTCATGATGCCATAGGAGCAAATTGGTCATGTGTCAAGTTGTCAACACAGTTTTGGATACGTCAGACCACATATCAAAGGATTTCAATGCAGGAATATCATTAAAGAACTCGGCCCAATTGGTTCTTTCTTTCCTAGATCGTTCCAAAGACTATCCTAAGTTGAACTAACCCTAAAAGAGACTTATATTAACTTAGGGTACTGAAAAATAAAGGGAAATATTACACTGAAAGTAAAGGCAATAAAGTAAATGTGAATGAAGATAACATGAAAACAATAAATGGAACTGACAAATGTACCTTAACTTGCAAACTGTTTCTCAATAACAATTGATAATGAATAGCTTTAAAGCTTAAATAAAACAGGTCAAGTAAAATTGGAGAGAAATGAAATAATGCATTAATAAACCAGAAACCAAGCAAAGCTTGATAGCCATATAGTTAATAGCTACAAAGAAGAACAAAAGAAGCTTGAAATGAAACGGAAACGGAATGGCAACACGAGAGCGGGTCTTGAGGCTTCAGGATGTTGTTACACGTCCTAGGGATTTTCTGACTCTTGACTTGTGGACTTCTTGTTGGTAGATGAGGTCAGTATTTGGAGAACATAACTCCATTATTTAGGCAAATAACTGGTCAGCCTGATAAACTCAGTGCCCTTGACAATTCGATGCTCAAATCTGGTAGTAGTTCAGCTTCAGCTCATACCATAACCAAGCCACTCATTCACTTAGTCAAGTGAATGACACATGATGCCTCTGGATGGAGACATGTGGCAGTCCAAGATGGTTCCATCGGGCCATCCAAGTTGGGTGTTAACTGTGAGTTATATTTGCCATTGAAAAAAGACTGATAGTATTGAAATAGTAGCGCAATGTTCAATAGGTGGACTATTTTTTTAAGCTCTAAAGTTCACTCAATAAGCTGTCGACAAATAGGTGTTTGGATCTATTTAACATTTGTTTGGCAAGTGAATTAAGATTTACAATAACTTTGTTACCCAGGTGTTTGGAGTAAGAAGAAAAAGGTGCAATTCCAAAGGCTCATCATACACACCTTCATCACAGACTTCAATAAATTATCTTTCTTTTTTTTTCTTTTTTTTTTTGTGGGAAAATGTCACTTAGCCCAACATGCATAGAAGTTAAGGAGAGACTTGTTTTTCTTGGACCCAGTAAAAGCATAATGGTCCAATTGCCTCACCTATAAGAATTCATGTGCATAGCCATATGAGCATTGCAAGCTTGAAGCTACAAAAAATTGTTACCCATTTCCAATGAAAATATTCTAGCATTGAAAAACAATTTGCTTAGGTAAATTTTAGGACCAAAAGTTATAACTTAGTGGCACTTTCTTATCTTTCAAAGTAGAAAGACTAGCATTCAAGTCCTTGGAACATGTGGGTGTGTGAGTTTATTGTTAGAATAAATTAAAAAGGTAAACTTTAGAATATATGAAAGAACTCCAAAAATAAATAAATTAATAAATAACTCATGTAAAAATGATATAACAAAATAGTAAAAATATCTGGGAAAAAAACATTTCTAAAAATCATCTGAAATTAGGGGGAAATATGTAAAAGTACCGGGGGAAGAAATTTTACTAAAAGACCGTAATCAATTTACTAGGGTAAATCATCCAGATTGCACATTTCGACGCTTTATAAAGCTTTGTCTTCAAATTTCGGCTTCGCTTGCAAGATCACATTGGATTCTATATTGGTAGCATTTGAAAAAAAGGGCATGATAAGTGGGTGGGCCCCGGAAGGGTATACTTTGAAGGAGGCTTTAGAGAAATTATTCAGTACCCGAAATACTGACAATGAAGCATCTCAACTAACCCAGAAAGGAAGGGAAAAGGTTCAAGTCCCTCTAGCCAATGAAAAAATATATATACATATATATACCACAATGTTTCTGGTTAGCCGATTAGGTAAACCATAAAACAAAAAGCAATCTTGGTTTGTAGTTACTGCTTTCTTTTTTCTTTTTCTTTTTCTTTTTTTAGTTGTCTTAACCCAATTAAAATACACTCAAACTTGTCTAAGTACAGTTATGGCAACATTAGAAAAAATTGTTATACCGAATAATGGAAATGTTTAAAATTGAATTAACCATGTTCAGATTACAAACTATCTTTGTCCAGTGTTCTATGGATGAGTTATACAATGAATAGCACCATCTATTTTGTCTCTAACCAGATAAGGATTGATCAAGAATTGAAATTTCCAAGCATAACTCGACTTCCTTTACTTATCACTGATACTATCAGACCTTTCGGTGGATGCAAGTTTCTTTGATGATCTTACGCTTGAACAGAAAAATTTTGTGGAAGGGTTCCAGTTGGAATTTTTTTTTTTTTTTTTTTTTTTGATAAGTAATAATTTATTAGAAAAGCGTTCAAAAGGGGAATGCGTCCCTAATACACAAAACGAAGAATGAACCTAAGGACCAATAGAGTCCAATAGATCAAATAAGTCATCAGTCGAGGAGCAAATGCTTCCTCTTACATAACAGAAAAGAGAACGGAGAATATGGAAGGGTTCCAGTTGGAATTCACTTTCACCTTTTTGAAATAAGGGACAAAGTGGTGTGCACATGATCCCCACACCCGCGAGAAAGAAGAGAGGAATTTGATCCAGTCTGCCTGCAAGGAAAGATCAAGAAGATGGAGAGGAAGACCTAAGAAAAAGAGTCGTACAGATTTGATTCTCTTTTTATTACCTTTGAATTACCAATCATTTTTTGTTTGGACAGGGTAAAAAATAAATTACCTATCGTTTTTCGTTTGGACAGGGTAAAAAATAAATTACCAATTGTTTTCCAAGTTGACAATGATTTAGAATGGACTTTTGATTCTGTTAACCAGAAATCTTGGGAGACTGAGAGCAGTGCCCCAGGTCTTTAAATTAGTCTGCAAATGACGATCTAATTGGCATATCAGCCCAACTGTTTGAGTCAATGGGCACTGCCTTCTTCGCTATATTCTGTTACATTTTTGCTTTCACATATTTCTACCATACAGTTATCTCTGTAGCAGATGATAAGCTAAGTCAAAACCAGTCAATCAATGGAAACATGACCTTAGTATCTGCTGGAAGAAAGTTCCGGCTTGGTTTCTTCACTCCCACCAATTCCAGAAACCAATACTTGGAAATATGGTTTGACAGCATCCCAACCCAAACTGTAGTCTGGG